AATATATATATATATATATATATATATATAAACAGTAAAATAAATAACAAATTTTAAAATTTCACAAATATTTATTCAAATTAAAGTGTATATTTCGAATAATTAAAAATTAAATGTACTTAGATATTACAAGGACGAGAATTAAACTTTATTGAAAAACAAGGAACCCAAAATACTTCTTAATTTACCTGTAAATATACTAAAATGATTTTTGTTTCACTAAAAGGGGGAAGAAAATGGAGAATTAGCTTACATAATTATGTGTAGTTATTTTAAGATAAAAAAATTATTTTTCTTATACTTTTAGTGTAATTATTTTTGAGACCATAAATACCTCAATAGAAAAATATTTAATTTTCTTATAAAGGATATGTAATAAAAATATGTCACGTAATTTAAGACGGCGAGGTGTGTTAATCCACTAATCACTATGTATTTTTTTAATCATTTTTTAAAAGAATTGTTTTTATCGAAAGGCTATTTACATTATTATATTATTTCAAAAGAATTAATTATTTCTCCCTAGTAATGGCTTTATTATTTGTCAACTTTAGTGGTCCCACAAAGAGACAATTTTCTATATTATAATAAATAGGGTGCATCAATTATCAACCTTAAGAATTGATTTTGTAAGAAAAAATTAAGATTAACATCAAATATTAACATTAATAATATTGCTATATTTGTGTAAAAAGAAATTAATTATTATGAAGTAATCATGATGACCACATACTGATTCCTTTTGCTTTAATTTATGAAAAATGATATGATTTCTACTAGCTAAAATAATTCAGCTGTTTAATATATTAATTAAGCAATATTTAAAGGTTGTGGTTTATCAAAATAGCTAAAAATAAAATAAAATTGTACTTTAAAGTGGTTTTTTTTCATGAGTAATTCGATATTCATATAAGCACGATTAAATTGAATTTCGTGACAAAAAGTTTCATATAAAAGTTAAAACACTTCATAGCAACGATATTTTCGTACTTAAATAAAACTAAACTCAACACCTCAAGCTAATGATGAAGTACTTATCAGACTATCTTATCGATTACTTACTTTTATTAAAAGATAGATTTATAATTTCTAATATTATTTTACTTTTTTTTTCTGATCGCAGTAGTCAAGGCTAAGTTATTAATATATTTTTGCAAAATCATAAATACGTCCAAATATACAAAGTATAATAAATTTTGGGTACATTAGGTCTATTAAAAATTTATTTTAATCCTAAAGATTTTTTATTCACAATCATAGAATAAGATGAGATTTCTTATTTTTAACCAAAAAATTTGATTTAGGTCCAAAAAATGTAAAAATTTCATGACAAATATATGAAAAGTGGATGTAATTCAACATAAATAAAATAATAGGACAATTGTAATTTATCTCAAACGAAGTGGGACGGAGAATGTTTTCCTAGCATGAAAGTAATGGGTTCAACAAAATTTAATAACGAATATTAAAAGTTTCGTAAAAAATATTTAATTTTTTATATACATAATATATCTGATCAATGATAATTAACTGCCTACCCTTTGATTTATGTGACATTGCTTCGAACTATATTGATAACTTTGATTCAAATCCCACCACCCCAAACCCCTACCTTCTGCTTACGCATTCTATAGTTTTTATCTAAATTATACACAAAATATTAATTTAAAATAATATTTTTACTTACATATCAAACATATTAAAAAAAAAGAGCAAAGAAATTACTTATTATCAACATGCACTCTGAAAATTGGTACATTAGTGATGTAAGTAATTAACCAGAAATGGAAAATAAATGTAGTGGAAAAAAAGATACAAATAATTCACAAGAACGAAAAAGAAAAAGGTAAATTACAAACTTGTTTATATATAATGGAATTTGAAAAATATGTTTTTTCTTAATTTGGAAATTTTACAAAAAAGTAATAAGAAATGAAAAATGTGTATGTTCTATGAATTTTAAACAATAAAAAAAATAATCTAAATATTTTTAGACTTTTAGCATAATTGCTTTGCAACAAAGTTTGTTTGTGTTATTTATTTATTTTTTTAAAAAAAATTGTTATTGAGAATCTCCTTTCCCTTTACTTTTCCTTCTTCTCGATTCACGAGTTAAATCACGCCTTATAATTTTATTTTATTTTTATTTTTTTTAAAAATATCATTATCATATTTAAGTATGCTTTATATGATATTTGAAAAAAATAAAATTACACAAATTTTACCCGTGAATAAAATAATATTTTGTGATTGATCCTTAACTAAAAAAGAAAATCATTTTTTGAACAAATTTTTAAAAAAATGCAAGACATAAAAAGCCAGTATAAACAAGAATATTGGATAAGGAAAATATAGCAATAAAAATAGTAAAGATAATTAAAGTAAAAGTAATAATATCTATTAATAAATATAATTTTTTTAAAAATAGAATAATTTAGTATAATTAACAATACAATGAGTAAGCAATTTGATTCTCTAGACTACAACTCTCGCAAAAATTTAATTATCTATTAATCTTTTAATAATAACGTTAATCTCTATATTCTCCGATCCAAATATCATATTTACAATATGTTAAGTTAACGATGCGTCATGTTCTTTCTAATTATATCTATCAATTTTCTTTTAAATTTATTACTTTCTAATTTTTTATATCTCCTATTTTATAAATATATAATCACTATTATTGAACAGAGAAAATAACGTATTTCTTTATATTCATGTATGTATATGCTTAATCATTAAAAAAAAAGCCTTATTAAATAAATAATAAAACAACAATGGATGGGAAATAATATACAAAAATGTTGGGGTATGTACTTCATTATTTTTTTTTCCTAAAATTATTTATTTATTTTTTTTAAAAAAAAGGGAGAGAGAGAAAGTAATGGTTGTCTTCATGCCTTGGCAACCTAATTTCACTTTTCCCAACTAAAAACTTTTTTAATTTTTTTAATTTTTAAAATTTTAGATTTTTTTATTTTTTTCACCGGACTCCAAATATTTTCTTAACCATAATTCATAATTTTCCTGCTTTCCATTAATTAATTAATTAATTAATTACCTAATATTTAATAATTAATTTTTTTCTTGTCATTATTATTATTATTATTATTATTATTATTATTTCCTTCAATTACGATTTAAACCATCTGAAAAAGTCAGGAAAATAAGCAAAATCCAAATTACCCTTTTTTTCTTTTTCAATCTACAAAAACTCCATTTTTCATTTTTTCTCATCACTTATTTTAGCTAAAATATTCAATTTTTTTCCCTTTTAATCTCAGTCATTACTTCTCAAAAAATAGCTAAATATTTGTAACTTTTTTCTTTTTAATGTTTTGCTCTGTTTTTTTTTTCTTCCTCAAATTTGAAAAAAGAATGAACAACTTCATCTTTTTTCCAGTTTAATACTTTTGTATATTTATTTTTTAGCTGGTAAGATTTAATAAATATTTAATCTTTCATTTCTGGTTATTTTGAGTTCTGGGTTCTTGTTGTTTTTTTTTGCTGTTTTCACCTTAGAAAAATGATGATTTTTTTTTTGAGTAAAAGTTGATTTTTTTTTTAATTTGTTAGATTTTCTTGGTGATTTTTTTTTTTTTGCAAAAAATAAATATGAGTATGAGTGGAGTAACAGTGGTGGGATCAGATGCACCATCAGATTACCATGTGGCACCTAGGACCACTGAAAATCCCAGTCAAGTTTCTGGATCAGCACCTCAAATTACGAATATTACACCAACTCCGGTCACCGGTGCCGGCGCCGGCGTCGGTGCGGTTGCCGGAGCACTGGCGTTAGTGAAGAAGAAGAGAGGTAGACCAAGAAAATATGGACCAGATGGAGTTGCAGTGCCGTCCGCGGCGGCGCTTTCGCCGAAGCCGATTTCGTCGGCAGCTCCTGTGTCGTCGCCGGTGATTGATTTCTCATCGGAGAAACGGGGGAAAATCCGGCCGGTCGGATTATTTAGTAAGCCACATATGCCTAAGTTGGAGGTTGAAAATTCAGGTAAAAATTTTAACCTTTTTTTTTTTTTAAAAATGTTAGTTAGTGGTGGATTAATATTTTGGTGTATTAAGCTTCCGTTATGTTTTTTTGTGTTGTTAGTGGTGTTGTGTTGTTAGTGGTGTAGTTATATAGACTTCATCGAAAAAGTTATATTATATATAGGGGCGGAGCGAGAAACCCTATCTCGATGCAGTAAGCTTCCGTTATGTTGTTAGTGGAGTAACTACATAGAATTCATAGAAAAAGTTATATTATACATAGGGGCGGAGCTAGAAACCCATCTCGATGTAGTGAGCTTCCGTTTTGTTGTTAGTGGAGTAACTACATAGATTTCAT